TTATTAGTGAATAACAATTATATCCTTGCAGCCCTAATTATTATTATCATTTTATCACTTGCAATTCTAATTCTTCCGTATAAATATGAGACCTTAGTTTTCAATGGAATACATAAGTCTATTGATTTCTTTACTTTCTTTCCATTTCTCTCAATTTTATAATATTGTCAAAGATATAAATATCAATGGTATCCCCCCCTTTTTAGGAATAATGCTATTTAACATGATGTTACAATACTAGTTTAGATGACGCTAAGTGACATTAAATGAGATGTATAATCAAATGAATAGTTTAATTCAACGTTTTATTGAATTTATTACGTAGTGCTACCTAAACTGATGTTGTAGTATTAGTGATATTAGATAACATTATTCTTTTCTTCCAAACACAAGGTTTTTTTTCAAAAACATTGGCCTTTTAAATTTTGACAAAATTTGAGTCAATATTCGACCGACGAATTTGGAGATATTGACAAAAATTATTTCGTCACATAGGTTTAAGTATTTGATCTTAATTTCTAATAACAATAATCAACAATTTCTCATTATCTTAGCAATTGATCTTAATTTCTCATAACAAATAAAATTTTTATTTGATTTATGTATTTGAACGGTGTGTATCGACACACAATATACAAGTATCCATCCCACCACCTTCTAGAAATGGAACATACAAAAATTCCAAAACAGAAAAATAAATATCAAAGACTTTGACTTAATTTGTGGTTATAAATGGGAATGCGCAGGGTGCAGAAGGCAGATCAGATCACCTTCAGAAAAACCTGTGAAGTTGAAGATGAAAATGAAGATCCAAGGGTTCATCTTATTTCTACTCTTCTGTGGGTTCATCTTATTTCTACTCTTCTGTCAATTTCGAAGTCAACCATACCCTGATAAGCTTAAAAGTTCAAAACAGATATTTGATAAATCGAAAGACAGTAACCAAGAAACAAACACCATCAAGATTGGTATCATTCTCGACACAAAATCATGGGTGGGGAAGGTTGTCCACAGCTGCATTACTATTGCAATTTCAGACTTTTACATGCTCAATGAACAGTACAAAACAAGGATTGCTCTTGAAACAAGAGACTCAAGAGGAGAACCTTCTGATTTTATAGCTTCTGGTGAGTGTTTTATTTTTTCATTTCTGCACTTATTTTTTTTCTCGTGTGTGCACACAGCACACTTATAGTTGAGGGAAGTTGCAATAAAGTAGAAGAAAGCCCATGCACCTAGAATAAATCCAGCACATGAATTCAGGCGTAGTCAGTGGCGGATCCAGAATCTTAAGTCAGCTATGGCGGTCGCTGATGGCCGCAATAATAAGATTGTTTATTAATATTTAACTAAATAATGTTAAAATTTTTTTAATCAATATATAAATGCACTAAAACGTGAAAAAGTCATATACATTTAAAAATATAATCCATACAATATAAAATAATAATAAAAAAAATACATTTTTCAATCA